CCGGAGCACTTTTTTGGGGGACACCCGGTATATTATACAATACTTATACTCTTTTATTAGAACAAATTAAACAAAATTTTTACAAACATTTTCAAATGCTACTGACAGTAAAAGAATCCCCACCCTGTCTCCTCATTACATTGTCATTTTGCTTTCTCACGTAAATGTTTTTGTTTTATAGAGATTAATACAAGAATGATGAATAAGCTGGATATTGGCTAGATAATTTTCTCAGAACAACATACTTGCACTAGTATGAAAAATAACTTAACAGCTACAATAATCACATTATGTGGATAGATCAGATCAATGGCACACAATCTACAAAACTAAACTTGTGATACCTTTACTCAAACTGATATTCTCCCACAACACAAATTGTTTTCGTGTGGGTATGTTGTGTTAAAGTGAACAGTAAGAGTTGCTTGTGGTATATCATTAACTGTGCACAGGATTGGAATTGAATTAATATATACCTCACTCATGTCCTTCAAAACATTATCTACTATTCAGTGGTCTTCAATATACGATTGGCACTTTGCTACAGTAATGCATGTTCCTCGAATAGTTTGTGTATGTCACTCAACAGTTAACATTGGCTAGGGGTGCACTGGAACCAATTTTTAAAGTTCCGGACGGAACCGGATCTCGGGATCTGGGAACCGGATCTAGCTTGAACTGGAAAAAAGTTCCGGCTGGAACCAGAACTGATTCATTAAGTGATATATGGACATATGTTACTTTGTCTGCTGCCAGACAGTAAGACACTTTCAGTCATCAAGGAGAGAGCACGCAAATGTTAGAATAAGAAGATTGACTTGAACGTGATAATAAAGTGTTAATAGTGTACATTTATCATGTGTAGACCAAATTTCTTCCTATGCTATTCAATAAATAAACTTGATATTCTATCTCTCTGAAAAGGACAAAGTTCGGTTCTGGCTATGGTTTTTTATTACTTCCGGCAGGAACCGGAACTCTGAAAAATCAGGGTTCCGGCCAGAACCTAGTTCCAGTGCACTGTGCACTCCTAACATTGGTAGGTGTAAACAGCAAGTGACAGAACTTTTGCTTCATATGATTACAATAAAGTTTTGAAACTTCATGGTTTGACAAGTGACAGTTCACTATTAAAATGGCCAGCTGTTGGCTGTATAGACACTTCAAATGTTGTTTCCATGAAATCTTTATTTCTTGACTGCATAATTAGGTTACAGTCATAAACACATTATAGAATTAGTTACATTTTCTCAGCGAGGGGGGGGCAGTTGTCCTTGCTGCCCTCCGCTAAAGTCTTATTTGCTTTTATATTTATTATAATAATAAGTGATGAAATATTTCAATTGTCCCATGTCATCTTTATTATTCAGTTCCTTTCAAGGAAATACAAAATGTGAATCAATTTTTTTCGCAGATACATGTACGCGTTGCGTACCAATTTTTCTATTCCTTCTTAAAATTGTATAGCTAGAAGTATAGATATATATTTTCCTCAAATTGTATTACATGCTCGAAGATATTAGCTCATTGTTTGAGCTACCATGTAAATTCGAGTTAAAATAAAGTGTATGTATGTGTGTATGTGTGTATGTGTGTATGTATGTATGTATGTATGTAGGCTATGTATGCTTAATTTTTCATTTTTCCAGAAGAGCATCCCCTCCCCCAACACACTAATTTTCAGCCATGCTAACTTTTAATATGTCCATGGCCACTGCCGCTGCTGTGAGAGTTCGATCATGATTTGCCTGTCGTGTTTCCAATATAGCCGAAACCTACGCTACCAAAGTTATCTGAAAATTATTCTCTCCCTCAAAAGATAACACGTTACGCCGTCACTGAATATTTATATCTTATATTTTACCCTTTCAAATTTTGTCAGCTAGCCTTGCTTTAATTAACACACAACATATTACAATAGAATTAAATTAAATTAAACATGCCGTGTAATATTAATTTATAACATTTGTATATGTTATCCTTCAGCTATTAAATTTTTGTCAACCTGGCTTTTACACACAACCGCACTTATCTCAAATTAGTTCGTATGCAACACTGGAATTTTAAAGAATTTATTTTTACATCTGTTACAGTGTTAGAAATACAATTCGGGTACAGTGTTTCTCATCTGAAACCCAAAACTTGAAACATAGAAAATACACATAGTTCTGGTAAAAATATTAATTAATATGGTAGCAGGAAAGCATTGGAATGTAAAGTTTAGTCCTGGCGTTTCAGCTTTAACAAACTCAATCGCTTGTGGCAGTTAATGTTCATTTGCTTTGTCAATCAACCCATACAAAATGAATCTGTTTTGTTTTAATCAGGGTCACAATGTTTCGAAAGGATTTGCGTTAAAACTGAGTTCAAACGACAGATTTTTGTAAATATTGTGGAAACAACTTCGCATAGGCACTGTGGTCAATTTATTCTCACAGGAACTGTGCCACTCGGCTGTCCAGCACTTAATTTCGGTTTAGTGGTCAATTGAACAATGAATATAAACAAATTATATTACAAGATACTGTACTTGTACACAATTATGTACGTAATAGTATATGGAGTCGAGTGCAATTTGGGAAAAAAAATGAACGAGTGAGTTTTTCAAAAACTATCAAAATTGCCCGAGTCCGAAGGACGAGTATTAGACAAGTCTTTGGAAAACTCACGAGTGTATGATTTTCAAATTGCATGAGAAACCATACTATTACTTATTATTATTTTATGGCAAGCATCACTTCGAATAGCGCAAGAGTACGATTGACTGAGAAGCACTTTGAGTGGTCCATTACGTAAAAACAAACGCATGCATTTTAAAACAAAACAGCAAAACTAATTTAAAATTTGAAAATTATAATTTAATTCGTTATTAAGAAGAAATCTGGGAATGGTTTTAAGTGAAAAGAAGGAACACTGTGCATTGGTAATTGTTGTTTTCTTCGACCACGATAAAGTTTTTATTTAACCTCGTTTGCTCGGTCTTTAAAGAGAAACATCGGACCTTGGTCTGTACAAAAAAGACCTCGGTCCGATATTAACGGCTTATTGACCGAGCGTGAGGTCCATGTGAAAAATTAGACCGAGATTTTTTTAGCATGGACCGAGCGACGAAGGAGCGAGGTACATGCAAAAAACTAAGGTCTGATATTTCACAGTACAGACCGAACAAGCGAGATCAGTAATCGGTTTATTATATGGCTGAACCGAGTCTGTGAGCATATGCTTTTCGCCCGAATTAAATCGGCTATCTTCAGTTTCAGTGGGTAACAATACACGGTAGGCATGCATGCTCAATCAAAAACAATTTGGTTGTTTGAAATTTTATCTGTAAATTTTAATGACATACAATTGGAAAATTAAAAATCAAAACTTTTTCCTGTTTGCAAAGTAAAAATTTCCCGCCAGATAAACGACATCCGGGACACCGGTCCAGATACGGAAAATACGGACCACGGTCCGGATATGGGTTTTTACGGACCGCTTGTTAACCAATCGGAATAGAGAATTTTGAAAAGCCATATATTAATAAAGGCTTATTGACCGAGCATGCGGTCTGTACTGTGAAATATCAGACCAAGGTTTTTTAGTATGTATTTTAGGTATTTTAGTAATCGGTTTATTATATGGCTGAACCGAGTCTGTGAGCATATGCTTTTCGCCCGAATTAAATCGGCTATCTTCAGTTTCACTCGATAACAATACACGGTAGGCATGCATGCTCAATCAAAAACAATTTGGTTGTTTGAAATTTTTATAGTAATCGGTTTATTATATGGCTGAACCGAGTCTGTGAGCATATGCTTTTCGCCCGAATTAAATCGGCTATCTTCAGTTTCACTCGATAACAATACACGGTAGGCATGCATGCTCAATCAAAAACAATTTGGTTGTTTGAAATTTTTATCTGTAAATTTTAATGACATACAATTGGAAAATTAAAAATCAAAACTTTTTCCTGTTTGCAAAGCAAAAATTTCCCGCCAGATAAACGACATCCGGGACACCGGTCCAGATACGGAAAATACGGACCACTGTCCGGATATGGGTTTTTACGGACCGCTTGTTAACCAATCGGAATAGAGAATTTTGAAAAGCCATATATTAATAAAGGCTTATTGACCGAACATGCGGTTTGTACTGTGAAATATCAGACCAAGGTTTTTTAGTATGTATTTTAGGTATTTTAGTAATCGGTTTATTATATAGCTGAACTGAGTCTGTGAGCATATGCTTTTCGCGCGAATTAAATCGGCTATCGTCAGTTTCACTGGGTAACAATATACGGTAGGCATGCATGCTCAATCAAAAACAATTTGGTTGTTTGAAATTTTTATCTGTAAAGCACAATTGGAAATTTAAAAAGAAATTTTTTTTCTGTTTCCAAAGCAAAAATTTCCCGCCAGATAAACGACATCCGGGACACCGGTCCACATACGGAAAATACGGACCACGGTTCGCATATGGGTTTTTACGGACCGCTTGTCAACCAATCAGAATAGAGAATTTTGAAAAGCCATATAATAATTCTTTGTAAAGATCTTTTAAAGTGCCTTTTGGCGCATCTGATTTTAGTAGTATGACCACATGGCGAAAGAGACAAAAGTGTCTTTATAACTGATATAATTGTGAGATCGTGGGAAATATTTTGTGGAGAAGTTGCTTGCTTGTGATATGTTATTAAAGAACTTTATCTAAAGTGTTCAGAGTGCTTCGTTACATATTTGGAGGTCCCACCAAGATTAAAGACCCATGTTTCAAAGTAGAAAAAAGGTCTGTACGTGAGCATGTTATGAAAATGGTTGAAAAGTTCAAAAAGAAAATCAAAAAAGAAGAAAGGGCAGGTGGAATTTGCCCAGAACAAAGTGATTTGGACATTCTGTTGGAGGAGATAGCAGACAGAATGGATGCAAGCATGAAAATAGTGGAAGACGAGAATGAGAGAAAGATAAAGAAACTGGAGACTTTAAAAAGAACAAGCTGAAGATATCAGACTGAAAGTAATGGAATCACTGGGTGAAACAAGGAAAAGAGTGGGGAGTCAAGGGAGTGAGCAAGACGGGTTGGGCCAGCAGAGATCTAAAAAGAGAAGGTCTAATGGATCTGAGCTTGTGGTATTTTTAAATGAAAGAGCGACTCAAGAAATGCAATTACGAGTAAAAGATGCTGAGGCAAAAGAAAAGCAGCATCAGGACATGATGGAGATGTTACAAAGGCAGCAGCAAGAGCAACAGCAACAACAACAACAACAACAACAACAACAACAACAGCAACAGCAACAACAACAACAACAACAACAACAACAACAACAACAACAACAACAACAACAACAACAACAACAACAACAACAACAACAACAACAACAACAACAACAACAACAACAACAACAACAACAACAACAACAACAACAACAACAACAACAACAACAACAACAACAGCAATTCATGCAACTTCATGGACTGCTTGTTCAACAACAGCAACAACAAAATCAATTGTTGCTTGCTCTGTTGGCAAAAAAAAATTAAATTGTTATATGGAAAGGTGTGTAATTTTATTTGTTGTATTGATTTCAAATTATAAATTGGAATTGTTGTACAAAATGTTATCATATTTAATAAAAATTCAGTTAATTGTTAATATTTAATATATTCTCTTAAAAAAAATTAATCAAGTCTTATTATCCATTATTGTTATTATTAATAATAATATAATACATTACAACACAATCGCATTCATGTATTCATTTTATGATGTATATCATTATACTTGTCATGTTTTAGGAGATCAAGTTACTATTTTAACACTTGTAATTTTGTATTTTAATTTAAACTTAACCCTAATTCTAACCCCTGCTCTAATCTTAATCCTAACCCTTTCTCTAATTCAAACCATAATCCTAACCCTAATCTAAAAATAGTAACTCCCCCTGAAACGTGACTTGTGTATATCATAAGTGATAATCACATTGGCATTTTATACAATTAATGATTACCACTGCTTGTGATTTTTGAAAAATGTGCCAAAATTGCATCGAGGCGAGTGTCACTCGTAATTTTAACCCATTGAGTCGCATTGTGCCCTGATGCGCCCTACTTTATTATTTTACTGTGTCTAATACCAGACAATTTTACCCATCAAGAGGAGAGCACTTGTGCTTAATGGGTTAACTGGCCTATCTGTGCAACTGTGTCTGAAGTTAACCCATTGAGTCTCATTGTGCCCTTATGCACCCAGAGGCATAGCCAGGGAGGGGGCCACCACCCTGGTAAAAATTTTGGCTCCCCCCTAAGAAAAGAAGCCCGGCCTCACCGAGGTTTTTGCTGGCCCCCTTGACCAAAAATCTTGGCTATGCCTCTGGGTGCGCCTTTCTTTATTATTTTACTCTGTCTAATGCCAGACGATTTTACTTGTCAAGGGGAGAGCGCTGGCGCTTAATGGGTCAATCATTAATTGCATTCTTTCCCGTGTGATTGGCCATGCAAAGTATTCCTCTACAGAAGGAGGATCAACACCAAAGTATCTAGATGTAGTATTTCTGCACATGCAAGTCAAAGCATTTCGCAGTAGTGAGCTAACGATATAGTGTTTACCGACTGTGCTCAAACCAATCTTAAGGTTCTTTTTAAAATCTAAAAATTTAAATCAACTGATTACATCTCCAAAAATCCACTCCACAGATGTACGGACAGAGCTCATGGATTTATTGAATGCTTCCATTTGTGGTTTGAGAGCCCTGTTACGGAATGGTGCTTGTAGATGTATCCTCAGGGGATAGGCTGGGTCAGTAGTATGAAAAGACCGATCCATGGACAGAATTCATGTAAGAAAAATATAGTGTCTTCAGCCCTTCAGCCCTTCAGCCCTTCGGCCCCTCAGCCCTTCAGCCCCTTAGCTCTTTTAGTTCCATCCCCAAGATTTTCCAGGAATCGTTTCCCAAGACTTTCCCAAGATTTTCCAGGAATCGTTCCCCAAGACTTTCCCAAAATTTTTCAAAGATTTATCCCCGGGACTTTTTTCAAGATTTCTAAAAAGATTTGTTCCCCGAGATTTATTTTTTTTTCCAAGACCTTTCCCAGGATTCGTCCCCAAGACTTTTCCAAGATTTCCAAAAAGATTCGTCCCCAAGACTTTTCCCTAAGTTTGAGAAAAAATTTTTTCATCAACACCTTATATAAATAAAAAAGTATAAAGCAAAAGATCGTAGAAATCCGGAACGTTACAACCTGCCATTTCTTCCATACTCGTTCGGAGTATGGAAAAAAAAAATTTCAACGGTGGGTGTCTCCTCCCACGGGACCGGGGAAAATCGAGTGAACCCGTAACACCTTATACGAATAAAAAAATATACAATAAAGGATGTCTATCACCAAAGTCTCGGACTTCACCAAAGATTCGTTCTGTTTCGAAGATGCCGTTGTAAACAGTTACGGATCCAAAATCATAGACCTAACGGCATGCGACCAAGGACCTATTTTATTAAAGGTTACAGATTGTAGATCTTACGGAGTAGTAAGAGTAAATTCGACAAGGAAAAATATTCCATCTCCTTATCTCTCTTTGAAAAATCTGAGTTTATCTCCGTTTTGGAACTAATAGAAAAAGAATGTGCCAAACATGTTGGTAGGTCCGACGAAAAGATAATGAAATGTTTTTCCCGAAAAGGTAACACTCCTACCTTGTATCCCGGTATCGACGATGAAACGGAAATGTACGAACCGAAAGGCAACGATCCCATCGATCATAGGAAGTACCAGAATAAAAGATTTTATGTCGATGCGATCGTTAGAATCAAGGGAATCTTTATGTCCGGCAATACAACCAGTATTCAGGTCAAATTATACGAAGCCAATATTCTGAAAGAAAAACCAAGGATACCGAGAAAAAGACTTTTACGGGATTAGATTTCCGGAAATTAATTTTAATGTAAAAAACCCATTAAAATTCCAGTTTAAATAAAAGAATGAATCCGGCAACGACAATACTCTATTCGGCCATGAAATTAGCGGGTAGCAACGAAACCGAAATTCCGAACGTAAGATTAACGGAAAGAGAAGCCGACGTCTTGTATGCGACGTGTGCCATATGCGGATCGGTAAGCCTATCCATCGTGGTATACGTGGTCACGAGGTTGATCGGGATGTATCGTAAGAGAGGAAGGAAAAAAGAAGAATTGCCGGTTTACACACCGTCGGCATAGTGAATTTTAGATGGTCGTATCATCTAGAATCTATTCAGGATTATCATTATCAGCAAGATTTCGAACGTGATCGGGATCAGAAGACAACCGATCAGACTCGTCCAGAACAATATTCTCCACAGGAATAATTTCATCTTTTATTCTTCCGTCGTAATTTTTAACGGTCGTACTGACGTATCCGATCTGCGTATGAATGCTGGTCGTGGCATCGAACCCGAATCCCAGACTAAACATTTTTCGTCTCTTGTGATTTTTATTCTGCTTCCGTGTTTTTTCGGATTTTGAAGAAAGACATCCCATCCTTTAATTAAATGATACCGTTTAATATGATCATCGTGGGAATGACGGCGTGTGGAAAAACCCATTATCTGATCGAAGAATTGAAGACGACGTATTTCCGTGAATTTTCCGAAATCTTTTTAATCTGTCCGACGTATCATTGGAATAAAACGTACGACCGGAATTTTATCTACGACGATCCGAATTTTTTCATCGTTGCGTGCCATCACGACGACGTGGAAGATTCGTTGAAATCCGTCGTGAATTATGCATCGGGAAAAGATGCGTTGATTTTCCTGGACGATTGTGCGAGTACGAAATCCGTCAAGAATCGTACGAGCGAATTGGTGAAATTAGGATTCGGCGCACGTCACCGTAATATTTCGACGATCGTGATTACACAACAGTTGACGTCGATTGCCAAACCGTATCGCGAAAATATTCAGAAACTGGTGACGTTTTACAATCCGAACAGACAGGACATGAAAATTATCCTGGACGAATATCTGGGTGACGAAGATCCACAGAAATTAAGATCTGTTCGCGAGAAATTAAAAGAGAATAAATATTCGTACTTGGAAATAAATTTAATTCATCCGTATCGTTATGAAATAAAGTACAAGTAATGGAAGAAGAAGATACACACGAAAGGACGGAACAAGAAATCTTTGAAGATACGCGAGCCGAATTAATTCGGTTATCGAATGCGGGTGAAGTTAAACAGAAGGAGAGTTATTTGAAAAAAGCAACACCGGAAGTCATTTTTAAAATCAAGCGGGAATACATCCTTAATCAACGTGAGAAAGCCAACGTTCTTCTTACAGAAGTCCTGATCGAAAAATTTTCGGGATTGTTGGAAAATCTTCGCATGATCGATAGCGGCGAAGAATTAAAAGAGGAATTGGGTCAGGACAAGTTATTAAAAAGCGACGTGAAAAGTCTCGTTGAAAAAATATCGCCGTACATTCCGTATTTGGGAATTTTAAGTGGCGGCGTGACGACGGTGAAACACGTGTACGGAAGAAAGGGAACGGAAGACGTGAAAGAGGAGGATGAAAAAACAGAATAGTGATTTTTTTCATATTTTCGTGAAAAAATATGAAAAAAGATAATGTCGGGATACCCTATATTTTAGTATCGCACGCCACTCAACTGTCCGTTGACCATTTTAATCACGCCGTCTGAAAGAACGAACGTGTAACAGATGATGTTGGCAGTCGTTGCTTTTTTCGTAATTTCGATCAGGGTTCCAGATTGCGTATTTTGAATTTTCACTCCGTTTCCGTAGGTTTTCGCATCGTTTGCCGTCCGCAAGTCGATGACCAGTGCAAACTTTTTATCTTTGTAAAATTTAATCAAAGACTGTTGTCCGTTCGCATCGGTTCCAAAAAGACGCTTGGCTTCTTCGTACATCCTCGTCTTCGACATGCCCTGACTGTACACGACGTTTGGAACACCTTCGATCGTGACTTTGACTTTGTCGATATTCGGAAAGACGTATTCTTCGCTATCTTTCTATCGAACTTTTACCAAACTTTTACCATCCAAAGCAGGCAATAGAGAATTACGAAAAGAAAGATCTTTTGAAGTTTTATCAGCAAATACAAATCGTTTCGGAAATTCTTTTATCAACTTTTATGCTAAGAAACATTACAAATTAGATGTTCCTTGAACATTTTAGAATTTTTAACTCATATAGATTAGTACATTCAAGTATATGATATATAGTATATATTAACAATTTTTAAATTGCATTGTAATATAGAATTTTTTACTATTTATAACTTTGTAACACTTAACGTCATGTAATTCAGTCTTCTGACTGCCAGATGATGTTTTTATTAAACAAACAAACTAACTAACTATCGGTCGGTGTTTTTTCCGTGAAAAGCATGACGACGGCTTTCATACTTCGACGCGGAAGATTGACGGTTTCGTTAACGATCGTTAAACTTTTATCCCATTCGGTCTTTTTCATCAACGTGGCATGTTCGAAAGATAATTCGCGTTCGGAACCGTAGAGATTTTCGGATTTTCGTGCAAGATTCATATTTTCGATACTTTCGTATTCCAGTTCTAAATTTTCCAAAGAATACCCGTCGACGGTTTCCCCGCTTTGGGCGTTCATGATTTCTGACGCTTGCGGTAACGTGATCACGTACTGAAGATCGTTGGCCGAATGATACGGTGCGTACAATCCGTGATCGCCTAAAATCTTCGTAATCTTCAACCGTTGTTTCGTTCCGAAAATTCCAAACAGTGCGGTCGCATCGGCATCGACATTGGCTTCGTCATCCTTGGAAATTTTCTTACGAACGGGTTCGGCAGCAATTCCGTCTTGGATCATATCCGCGCGTTGTTTTTCGTCCGTCCACAAGTCTTTGTAAATTTCCAGTAAACTTTCCCCGCTGTTATCGTAGACTTTTTCGCCGGCGAGACGGATTTCCAGTCTTTTCTGCAATAATTTTCCCATGTTATTTCGGAACCATGATTTTTCGTTGGCATTTTTAAAGTCGAAGATTAATGCCATACTATCGGGAACGAGAACAGAATCCGGTTTGAGTTTGGGAATATTCACGTAGATCTCTTCCCCGGGTTTCGCCGAATTGGGATTGAACGTGATCAGATGTCGCGTTCGGTTTCCCGTTAATTCCGTCCTGGATCGACGGCTAAAACTAGGGTTCAGTTCTTGGGTACGACTTTCCATTCTTTTATTTTATGGGAATGAAATAAAAATTTTTATTTTTTCTTCGTGAAATAATTGTACAAGTATCCTGCAATCAGAATGGCAAGAATCCATAAGTTTTTCGCAAGGAATTCTATTCCTTTTGCACCCCATTTCAGAACGGTCGCCAACATATTCAAGATGGGTACGATCACGGGAAGTGCGGCTTTTGCAATTTTCCCCAACGCTTTTCCAACTTCGCCCACCCCTTTTGCAGCACCGACCAACGTCTTTTTTCCGGCGACGACGACGGTCGTAATAATTCCGGCAATGGAAATAGCGATCGCAGATAAAACTCCTAGATTTTCTCTGGCCCAGATTTTAAATTTCTCAAATCTCGTTCTCACATCCTCCCGAACTTTTTCACGGACGCGATGCACACCTTCTTCGGATTCGGGCCGTTCCCGCATTTCCAGTCTTGCATCGTCGATATTTTGATCGACGATCTCTAACGCTTCGCGAAAAATATCTTGACGTTCCGGATCGGATTCGGTATCAAAATCTATTTTAAGTTTTTGACGTTCCACTTTTAAATATTTGATCCGTTCACGAGGTTCACCTTTGGGAACGGTAATTCCGACCAGTTCCCTCACTTCTTGTTCGGTGAATTTTCCATCGCGATAAAACTGTAAAACCCGTTCGTGAAATTCAAGATTATCGTCGATATTTTCGTCGTGAATTTCGTCACGCACGTCGTCGGAAATATCGTCGTGGATCGATGGATTTCCCTCCGGAATTTCTTCTTCCACGATACTTATAAATTTATTTTTATGTTCTTCCGTTGCTTTTTCAAAAGCAGTTCTAAAATTTTTCTGACTCTCGGTAACAGTTACATTTTTACTTGTGGATAATTTGTATTCCCCATTTTTTTCGATGAAGGCAACATTAATATTATCAAATGTCAGCCAGTATCCACGGGTGATATTTAGTCTGGAAAACAAATCTTTTGAATTCGGTCCATCATTCGGATTTAATTTATAGTCGTTCCCAAAAAGTTTTTTCATATATTCAGATTTCAGACCAACAGAAGATCCGGTCGTATACAGGAAATTGATCTTTTTTTTTCTTTTTGTATTCCTATCACCTTCATTCTGTCTTTTAAAATCTGCTAACCATACTTCATCGTTCCGCCGATCTAGATCATCCAGTGTCGTTTCACGCAAGTCATCGCCGAAATCTATATCATCGTATTCATCCTCTTCCCACGGATCCCAATCATAATCATGTCCGATCTCATCCAGTTCGATATATTCGGCCATAGTTTATTTACCACTTAGATCCAACGATAATTCGTGTTCGTAAAATCTTCCTTGAATTTCACGATCGTCATCGTCGGGATCGATGAGTTTATACATGTTCGGATCGCCGCGAAATACTTCCGACACGACGTAAACATCGTCGGAATAATTCGGAGTGTATCCTTTCACAAAAGTATCGCGATAAATTTGGTCTCGGACACGATCTCCGACTTTAAATTTTGGTTCTGGAAA